AGGCCACAACAGTGAGAGGCCCGCGTACCGCAAAAAAAAAAAAACAAACAAAAAAAACGGTCTGCCATTATACCTACCATCCCTAATCTTTATCACCTCTACTTCCTGTTCTGCCAGTAGGCCTTAAACAGTCACTTAAAGATGACATAGGATATTTCGTGCAGAGAAAAGTTATGTGCAAAGAGATGAGATTGTAAATGCAGGATGCATCCCGAGGAGTGCGATGATTTTGCGTGACTATAGAGAAATTGTTCTGTACATCACATGCACTCTTCACTGCTGGCTCTGATCTTAACCCTTCAGGGGCTCAGGTGGGCTTCCTCCATTTGCCACCATCCCTGGGGAATTGTTCTGCTTTGACTAAGGTCACTCCCAACTCTGTCCCTTAGGGGTTCTTTCTTTCAGACTTCCTGTCATGAACTTAAGCACACAGCATCTTTTCCCTTAGGGCAGTGACTCTCCATCCAAGGTGATTTTGCTCCCTCAGGGGACATTTGGCAATATCTGGAGACAGTTTTGGCTGTCACAACTGTGAGGGGTTTTATGCTACTGGCATCTAAAGGGAGAGGCCAGAAATGCTGTAAATATCCTACAGTGCACAAGACAGCCCTCCACCACAAAGAATTATCTTGTCCAAAAGGTCCCTAGTCTTAAGGTTGAGAAACTAGAGCGTTAAAGTTTTGTGACCATGGGGATGCAGAAGGAGGCTGGCAATATCAGGAATAAGGATTTACAAATACTGTAAGTATTTAGAGACCTGCTCATTAACATCTGACTTATTAATGAAACGATCACTGAGAGCTTTCCTTGGCCTTCTTGTCCCCCATATCTACTTTAGGGTTGAGGCTCATCCCCGCATAAGGTCATAGAGCATTTTCTGCATAAAGGGCCCTTTTTAAAAACTTTCTCAGTCTGAAGAATGATGGCGGCAGAGTAATGAATGCTCCCGTTTTCTCTGTATGGGCAGACTGTATCTCTGAAGGTGCAATTTCCTAGACACAGTTTTTTTCCTTTCCAAGTGAGATACACTGGGCAGATGTAGGGCTTCTAGATATGGGATCATGCACAGTGGGCCTTATAAGCAGAGGAAAGATATGTGGATGTTATCCTGAAGGCATTAGGACTGGAACACTAGTTAGGCCTGGAATAATTTAAGACTTAGCTTAATTCTTATGACCCAACTGAAAGCATGGAAGTCAGTTACAAACCTAAAGACAGGAAGGTGACCTTTGACGTAAGACAAGGAAAATGATGAAGGCTTGAACTAGGCAATAGTTGTCATGGGGCTTAAATAAGGGGCTCAATTAGGGAGGTAAGTTCAGTATGATCTGGACGGGAGTGAGGGTGAAAAGCTGTGAGGATGATCTCCAGCTTCCTGACTTGAGTAAAGCAGGTAGCACCATTTGTTGAGACAATAAGAATGCTAGTGCCCTTCATTGAGACACAGAATGTTTAGATTTTCTTTGAACAGAAAAATGGAAAGATGAAAATAAATAATATTTTGGATTTATCACACAAACCAGAGAAGTTGAAAATTTCATATCTAGCCATGTTTATCTAGGAAAGAAGACAGAAGCCTTGAGAAATCAGGACAAATAAACAAAAATGAGTGAGACCTTCAGGTACCAGATATGAACTTGCTCCTAACTCCAAGTCTTTCTTTTCAATTTTTTAAATGTAGAGGGGTATAAAATTTTGTGTTACTACTGCTATTATTGCTTAATGTCAGAAGTCATAGATAATATTTTTAGGTGTTTTACCAAAAGCACAAAAGATATGAATGATAAAGTCCCCTTTAAAGTTGTGCTGCAGATATAAAACTTAGTAAATATTGTTGACCTTAAAGAATTTCTTTATTTATGAATATGGAAATACATTTTTTGAAAAATATGTGAAAAGTAAGCGGCAGAATTCAACATCCTACTTACGATAAAAACTACGAACTTAAAAAAACTTTCTCAATGTTTCAAAAGGCATCTGTGAAAATCTGAAAATATGACTATCCTGAATAGTCACAGACTTAAAGCTTCCTCTCTAAAATCAGGATCAAGACAAGGATCTGTTCTCACCTCTCCTATTCAATATCATACTGTTGGTCCTAGCACATGTAGTATGTCAAGAAAAGGAATTCGAGTCATACAGATCAGAAAGGAAGAAATAAAATGTCTCTATTTACTAAAGACATGGTTTTCTAGGTAGAAAATTCTTAAGAATTTGTAAAAAAAAAATAAGTGAGTTTAGCAAGATTACAGGATGCAAGGTCAATATGCAAAAAATAAATTATATCTCTATATGCTAATAATGAAAAACTTTAAATTGAAGTTTTAAAAGTACCTTTTAGAGCAGCACAAAAAAAATGAAATAATTTGGTATAAATATAACAAAAATACATAACATTTATGAGAAATAAAGAACTAAATAAAAATGTAATACTCATAGATTGAAAGATTTGATTTTGTTAAGATGTCAGTGTTCCCCAAATTGATGTACAGATTTAATACACTCTCAGTCAAAACCCAGCAGGCATTTTTAATTTTTTTTTCAGAAATTGGCAAGCTTATTCTAAAATGTATAGGGGGAAGCAAAGAAACTAGATTGGCTAAAACATTTTGAATAATAAAAGCAAAATTGGAGACTTAGCTATCTGATTTTAAGGCTTCTTGCAAAACTACACAGTTCAAATCAGTATACATTGATATCAAGATAGACAAATCAATTAATGGAGTCGAATAGGTGTATGTACACACACACACATACATACGCACATAAGGCAACTCAAGGGAGAAAGAATAGTCCTCTTCAAGAAACAGTGCTGGAACAATTAGAATCCATTTGCAAAAACAAAAACAGTAAAAGAATTTCATCCCATACTTCAAACTGCATATAAAAATTAAGTCAATCACAAACTTAAATGTAAACCCACGAACTATAAAACTTCTCTAAGGAAATATAGAAGAAAATCATAGTGACCTTGGGTTAGGCACAGATTTCTTAGATGCAACATCAATAACATGATCCATAAATTTTTTTAATGATAAGTTGAGTTTCACCAAAATTAAAAACTGCTTTTAAAATGACATTGGGATTGAGACTGGTGTTGACATATACACGCTACTCTATATAAAATAGATAACTAATAAGAACCTACTGCGTAGCACAAGGAACTCTACTCAATATTCTGTAATGACCTACATGGGAAACGAATCTGAAAAAGAGTGGATATATGTATATGTATAACTGATTCACTTTGCAACACAGCAGAAACTAACACAACATTGTAAATCAACTATACTCCAATATAACTTAATTTTTAAAAAATGGAAAGAAGAACCACACATGGGGAGAAAATATTTGCAAAGCGCATATCTGATAAAGGCTAGTATCCAGGATATATGAAGAACTTTCTAACAGTGCAATTAAAGAAAAATTCAGATTAACAAATGGGCAAAAGATTTGCACATACATTTTGTCAGATAAAATATACAGATTCCAAATAAACACATAAAAAGGTTTTCAACATCATTAGTCATTAGGGAAATGTACAATAATACCACAAGGAGATACCAGTATATAACTATTAGAATGGCTGAAATTGTAAAAGAATAATAAAACAAAGAAACTGACTAGTAAAGATTTTAGTAACATGGGTATTCTCCAGGATACTCCTAGG